AATTCAGTCAAAACCGGGTCAAACCCAAGTTTTACAACTGATTTTTCCAACAAAATTTCTAACTAGGGAGCCTACTCGAAATCTGTCAACCCCAAAAACCTGAAAAAATTACCACAAGAAAAGCTTTACCTTTCATAACACGGGAGAAAGAACTCAAATTTCCCACTAACTACAAAGCAAACCTGCAACCGGTCCCATCCAGAAATCGATCTGTATGCCAACCTTTGGCCTGAAGCTCGGAAATAAACGGCGAAAACATGTCGCTCATCCTCTCATAAGGTATGCCAACCTTTGGCCTGAAGCTCGGAAATAAACGGCGAAAACATGTCGCTCATCCTCTCATAAGCATCTTGAAAGAAATTATCACGGTTTTCTTCGAAAGAATTTTCAGTCTCGGCAGCATATGCAGCGACTAACCACCCCCTCAAAGCATCCTCACCGGTTGCATTGCGCTCGAGTATCATGTCTGTCCATTTTTTCCCGCGCTTCAGAATAAATTTTTCGCCGGGAAAATTTTCTTTGACTTTGTTTAGCTCGGACGGCTTGAAAACTTTGCGTAGAGGCCTTCCCACTTTTACGCGCCCGGCTTCTTCTATTAGCCGTCCCGGGAATAAAAGGTCTTCTTGATATCGTAAATTGGCAGGGGTAGATACCCGACCACTCTGGTTCAAATTACCAACAAGAGTTATAAGTGGGAATATTAATAAGAGTTAATTAAAAATATCACCACTAAGGCATATCATTTATAAAGTAGAAACATAGTTTAAAATTTGTTACTCTTTTACAATTGCTCCTTCAAGTGTGGTATTTGCAATACTCAAGGGTGGTAATCTATATATATATAAAAAGAATTACTATTTACCAAAAATAGTAATCCTAAATTTTAGGACAACATTAATTGCAATCCACTAATAGTAACTTTTTTTATTTTTTACTTTATTGTTCTTCAAACAAACTAGTATGTACCTCGTGCGATGCACGGGACGAAGATATTAAATGAGTTATTTTCACAGTCTTGTCCGTTTAAGTCTAAAAAGTAATAATGTTATTATCTATTTTCTACCTCTTTTAATCAATGTTAAGTTTAAAAAATTATTAAGCAGCCCTCTGGATAATATGTATGGAGTTATGTGTTTGTGTCTCATAAGTTACAAACATTATGAGTAACATTACAAATTATTCATTCAAACTTTTATTCATTGCAAATATATTAAAATAGTTTATCTAACAGCCATTAAATACCACTTTCAATATATTTATAAATAAAAAGTACATAAAATTTCTGGTGTGTTCAAATTTAAATAATTTTTGATGGGCTCAATTTTAAATCATCCGGACATTTGGTCAAACGCATAGGTGTGTTCAAATTTAAATCATTGGCATTTTGGTCGGTTGAAATTTAAATTATCTACCATGGTACTGTGATGTGCATTATATATATATATACAATTTTTTAACAAATAATATGTGCTTTATAAAAATAATAATAATAATTTCACAAGATTTTAAACGTAAAATTTAGTTTTTAATCACAATAGAAAAATCATGATACGTTGTATCGAAAATGTGTTATGAGATAAAACAATTAACTAAAATAATTAAATTAAATAGTTGATGGAAATAGAATGCATTAATTACCTTTGACTTTTCTTACTACTAATTCTAGTAAATAGAATGTCTTTTTCTATAAGTATAGATTCTCAGACATTAATTGCTTCCCTAAATTGTGGATTTTAGTTCATTTTTTAGGATTCAAAATCTGGATTGAGATTTTGAAAATAAAGTTTCCATATGTTTTGTTCATATGTTTTGAGTTCATATGTTTTGTTCCGGCGCATATATAGCCCACAAAAGTAGCCTAAATATTTGGTTTTTTTTTTTTATATGATTTGATTATCCTCTACATGTGGACTAATTAGATGATTTTATGCTTATCAACAACGCAGTTTTTTTGGTAGGGGATTTTAGAATGCATTAGATTTATCTGCTTCTAATAATTCATAAATTAAAAAAAATTTATACGACTAATTTACCACAATCAAGTACGGTTCAGTTAAAAAATAATTGTTTTAATAAATAAGTTACAAAAGTTCTAAATTAAAAAAATATGTGTTTTTATTGAAATAATTATTGTTTGTTCTTAAGATATGAATAGGATGAGAAATTAAATTTTAAAAACCAAGCATCTATTCGGAACCAAAAGAATTAGAGTACTTAATGAATATTATTAAATTATAATTTACAAATCACCTACATCTCATAAATAACCAATATTAATAAAGATAAAGAATTAAAAAAAAAAAAGAAGAAGCTAAAACTAGGATACATTAACATTTCAATGTTTATGGATTCTTTTTGTAGTGAATATATGATTTCCCTAGATACTATAATTTGCACCATAACCTTTATTACTATAATAAAAATAAGTATTCAATTCATAAAAAACAATGTTTCATACAATAAATTTTTTTTCCAACGACTGTTCATTCCTAGCTTCTTTTGCTTATTTCGTAATTCGATTTATTTCGTTGCAGATACATTAATTCATTTAATTTAAAAATATATTCTTCTAAAATATAATGTGTAAATTATAGATCATGTTATTAATAATTATCTATATTTATATCTATTAAATAAGAATAAGATTAATTCACTTTTAGATAGAATTCCCGCTAAAAACGTTAATTAT